TTCCTAATGCATTCCATCTGTTAACTACTCTGACACTGAAAAAATTCTTTCTAATGTCTCTGTGGCTCATTTGGGTACTCAGTTTCCACCTGTGTCCCCTTGTTCGCGTACCACCCGTGTTAAACAGTTTATCCTTTTCAACCCTGTCAATTCCTCTGAGGATTTTGTAGGTAGTGGTGGTGTGTGTGTGTATACTCACTTATTTATGCTTGCGGGAGTTGAGCTTTGGCTCTTTGGTCCCGCCTCTCAACTGTGTGTGTGTGTGTATTTACCTAGTTGTGCTTGCGGGGGTTGAGCTCTGCTCTTTCGGCCCGCCTCTCAACTGTTTCTAACTACTGCTACTATTTTTTCCCCACACCACACACACACCAGGAAGCAGCCCGTGACAGCTGACTAACTCCCAGGTACCTATTTACTGCTAGGTAACAGTGGCATAAGGTGAAAGAAACTCTGCCCAGTGTTTCTCGCCGGCGCCCGGGATCGAACCCGGGACCACAGGATCACATGTCCAGCGTGCTGTCCGCTCGGCCGGCCGGCCCCATGTGTGCTCACCTAATTGTGCTTGCAGGGGTTGAGCTCTGGCTCTTTGTTCCCGCCTCTCAACCGTTAATCAACAGGTGTACAGGTTCCTGAGTCTATTGGGCTCTATCATATCTACACTTGAAACTGTGTATGGAGTCAGCCTCCACCACATCACTTCTTAATGCATTCCACTTGTCAACCACTCTGATACTAAAAAAGTTCTTTCTAATATCTCTGTGGCTCATTTGGGCACTCAGTTTCCACCTGTGTCCCCTAGTGCGTGTGCCCCTTGTGTTAAATAGCCCGTCTTTATCTACCCTGTCAATTCCTCTGAGAATCTTGTACGTGGTGATCATATCCCCCTAACTCTTCTGTCTTCTAGCGACGTGAGGTTTAATTCCCGTAGTCTCTCGTGTGCGTGCGCGTGCGTGTGCGTGTGTGTGTGTGTGTGTGGGGGGGGGGTCTGCACCTACTACCCATGCCTGCATTTTCACACTCACACTGGTATTTATTGATTCCGAGTGTCGACTATTGGTGTTTTTTTCTGAGCTCCTCACTGCTCGCGTCAACATGCGTCTCACAGTCATTCACAGGTTTCCACAATTCTTTACTTTAAACGCCACAAAATATACTTATATACTTAGCACGAGCACTAAACCTTCTGTAGTTTAGTTTTCAAACCCTGTAGGTTTCAGGGTTTTCAGGTTTTTAGTTTAGTTTTCAAACCAAGACTTGAGGCGAGCGTAAATTATATTCCCAGATGATTGCCTCCCAGAAATCATGCAGATCATTGCATATGCACGTGTGTCTAGTAATACGTTCTTGACACACTCAATAACTAAGTTTTAAATGGGAGGAGTGGCTTATTTACCTAAAGTTCCACTTATGAAACTGTAAGATCAACCTCGCCGCTGAGCGCCTAGCATGCTTTAATGTTATTAGGCTATGCATTACCAAATTTCCCTAAGTGCCTTAATTTATTAAAAATTATGACTGAAAGTTGGTAAATTTTCACAACACAAGATGGATATACAATCTAAACACACACACACACACACACACACACACACACACACACACACACACACACACACACACACACGTAGCTCGTAGCCTGGTGGATAGCGCGCAGGACTCGTAATTCTGTGGCGCGGGTTCGATTCCCGCACGAGGCAGAAACAAATGGGCAAAGTTTCTTTCACCCTAAGTGCCCCTGTTACCTAGCAGTAAATAGGTACCTGGGAGTTAGTCAGCTGTCACGGGCTGCTTCCTGGGGGGTGTGTGTGTGTGGTGTGGGAAAAAAAAAGAAAAAAAAAGTAGTTAGTAAACAGTTGATTGCCGGTTGAGAGGCGGGCCGAAAGAGCAAACCTCAACCCCCGCAAAAACACAACTAGTAAACACACGCACAAAATGGATTGGATTGCTCGAATACACGGTACCAACGTCCGAGTTCTGCCTCACGAAACATATAGGAAACTTGGAAAGCTGCAGATGTTTTTTTAACAAGGTTGACAACTGAGAAATAGGCTACAGTAACTGAACATCGGACCATTGAAAGAAATGAGAGCTAGATATAGACGTGATTGAGACATAGAGGATACCTAGCTTACTTGACAAAAGGAAAATGTGAAAGGGCATGGATGGAAATGGGAGACCAGAGATTATATAAACAGTAGGTATTTAAACAAATGTTTTATTTTAATAGTAGTTGACCTAAGCAAGTGGAATGAGACAAAAGTCATAAATTACTGCATCAAACGACCGACAATAACAAAGGCGAAGCCAAGGAGCCGAAGCCCGGCCCTGCAAGTTCTGCTAGTTAAGTACAGCTAGATAAGTAAGCACACACACACACACGGCTACTTGTATAAATAATATCCGAATGTCACATGTGAAAGTATACAGTATACAAGGTTACTCCAACCACATGACTGTGATTTCTGTCTTCCTGCACCTTCCTCGTGGTGGTAGACCAATGGGATGGTATGAGCGCCTGGTGGCTGAGTGAACAGCACGATGGATACGTAGTCCTATGGACCGGGGTTCGAATCCCGGCGATGGCGGAAACAAATGGGCAGTTTCTTTCACCCTGATGCCCCTGTTACCTAGTAGTAAACAGGTATCTGGGAGTTAGACAGCTGTTACTGGCTGCTTCCTGGGTGTGTACTCACTATTTGTATTCACCTATTTGTGCCCGCAAGATCGAGCATTGACTCTTGGAGCCCGCCTGTCAAGCCATCAGTTGTTTACAGCGACTCCGGTCCTATTTCCCTATCATATCTAGTTTTAAAATTATTAATAGAATTTGCTTTCACAACCTGCTCCTTAAATGCATTCCATTTTTCCACTCTCTCACACTAAAAGAAAACTTCCTAACATCTCTGTGACTCATCTGAGTTTCCAGCTTCCACCCATGTCCCCTTGTTCTGTTAGTTTAATTTGTGTGTGTGTGTGTGTGTGTGTGTGTGTGTGTGTGTGTGTGTGTGTGTGTGTGTGTGTGTGTGTGTGTGTGTGTGTGTGTGTGTGTGTGTGTGTGTGTGTGTTTGTGTGTGTGTTTGTGTGTGTGTGTGTGTGTGTGTGTGTGTGAAAAAAATGAATATCAGTTGATTGATGGACAGTTGGGAGGCGGGCCGAAAGAGCCAGAGCTCAACCCCCCGCAAGCACTTGTCAAGCCTGACCTCGGGTCGGGCTTGGGGAGTAGAAGAACTCCCAGAACCCCATCAATCAGGTAAGCACAACTAGGTAAATACTGTCTTGTCCTCCTGCACCTTCCTCACCATCTCAGTCCTGGTATAAACTGTCTTCACACCCCTCCACACCTTTCTCACCATCATCCTAGACCTGGGGCCAGATTCATGAAGCAGTTACGCAAACACTTACGAACCTGTACATCTTTCCTCAATCTCTGGCGGCTTTGTTTACAATTATTAAACAGTTAATGAGCTGCGAAGCACCAGGAGGCTGATTATAACAATAACAACAGTTAATTGGGAGGTTTTCATGCTTGTAAACTGTTTAATAAATGTAACCAAAGCCGTCAAAGATTGAGGAAAGATGGACAGGTTTGTAAGTACTTGCGTAACTGCTTCGTGAATCCGGGTCCTGGTAGACCATTGTCTTGATCTCCCACACCTTTCTCACCACCTTCGCAGTCCTGGTAAGCCATTAGGTTGACCTGCAGTCTGGAAAGACCCCGGGATCCTCAAAAACCACGAAATACGGAATCTGGAGCACATCGAAAAGTCAGCAACAAGTATATAACAACAGAAAAATACTGCAAATAGCCTACTGTTCCGCGCAAGGTAGTTATTTATACCCACTCACTCATTTATGTCTAACCTACGCTTGAAACAATCTAGTGACCCACAGTTTATTATGTTACTTGGGAGTCTGGGCCAGGCAGGATTCACCAAGCATTCATGCAACCACTTACGAAACAGGTATATCCCTGGAAACACAAACCGAAGCTGTCTCTATTTTCCGCTTGTTACAACTTGTAATAAAGTTGTTACATCTTGGCTTAACGTGTTCATGGCGCATTAGAACGTTGTTACAACTTGCTATGTTGGTTGTTATAACTTGTTAGGTGTTAAAACTTGTTCGAACGTTGTACCAACGTCGTAGTTTCGGTGTGTTTGGCGGGATCTTTCCTCAATCATGTTGGCTTTCTTTACATTTATTAAACAGTTTATAAGCTCCGAAACAATACGAAGATAATTATACCAATACTAAGATTGGATCGTGAAGTTTCAAAGCCTGGGAACTGTTACATAGATGTAAACAAAGCCGCCATTATTGCTGAGAGATGTACAGGTTTTTTGTACGTTAATGCTTACGTAAAACCTTGATGCATATAGGCCTATAAATCTTGCAAACCTGACCGCATAGTTAAGGTAAGGTAACTATGCACTGTCAGCAGAACTATACAGTTCTTGGATGGGATATGTGGACAAAGAGCTGGGAATTATAGCCGGGATGAAGGTCTCCAACCACTGGCGGGGGAGCATCGGGCATCGAACGCCGACCCTGCAAGAAGCAAGGCCGTAGCTGTGCCGAGCCATCTACAGTCAGATGATATCAGTCGGCTGTTTCTACGAATTACGTGGCTATGTCTCGACTGAATATTGCATCATCAACATAATTCGGGCGGGTTTAATAGTCAGATTTTATGCACAATATCTAGTTGTTTTAGGTTTAGTTGTATCTTACTAGGCGCTGCATTTACCATAGTAACTGAGTGAGGTGATACACGCAGACAACAATTAGTCAAATACGAAGTACACACAACAGAGGCAATGAAAGAAAACATCAATTCTGTCGCTATTTCTTCAGTAGGTCTAAGAATGATCATGTATCAATGCACACACACAAGGACCAACACACCGTAACGCAATGTTATGGGTTGACAAATGTTCACATACACTCCAGCAAGTGTTGAGCACGAGCTCCAAGTAACAACTTGGGGGCATTTGACTTACATTCTGCGAGGAGCCGAAGTGTTCCCCAGCTAACTGAAGGAGATGAGTGATACTTATAGTTCCACGGTTCTCCACATCACACACCTCAAACACTTGTCGGAGTTGGTTCACAAACTCCTCAGACACCGCCATTTTATTTCACTTTACATGGTTTCTAATTGCACTTGGGAATATTTCCCCAACACAGAAGCGTAAGTAGTACCAGGCATGCGAGAGCCCGACTACAGGAGCGGCGAGACCCTCCCTCCCTCACAGCCTCAGCAACACTGACTTGTCTTATCTATTGTCACTTAACACTCCCGTCGGCCGCTCATTGCCACCTCAAGTCTACCCACACGTTTAATTACTAGAACATCCTTTTTACATAATCATAATCTTAGTTTTATTTATCGTTGGACATTTAAGGGGCGTGTGTGGGACAGCGTCTGCACCGTCGGTTGTTTCATTAATTCAAGTTTTTTTAAATATCTTTCAGCTCTTCTTCTCGACAACGTTCCTAGTCTTGTTGTAAACGTTTATCGCAATTTTCGATCGAAATGTCCTATGCTCGTGGGCCCATATGCTCGTGTGGGACTTTGGGCAAGTGCCCATCGGGCCCATGTGATAAGAGAGCTCTGTTTTCCTCTTAGGCCCTCTCACAATTTCTGTTGAACCAATTTGTATCTGCAGAATCGAGCTATTAGCTCTTGGACCCCGCCTTTCTGACCAATCTATTTTTTTCTCTGTTATATCTACTACAAATATTTCTCTCTAACATACGCACACACATCCCCAGGAAGCAGCCCGTAGCAGCTGTCTAACTCCTAGGTACTTATTTATTGTTAGGTGAACAGGACATCAAAGTGAAAGAAACTCTGCCCATTTCTTTCTGCCTCCGCCAAGGGATCGAACCTGGGTAAATAGGACTGCGACTCCCGAACGCTGTCCATTCAGCCGCGAGGCTTCTAGTGTGTACTCACCTAGTTGTGCTTGTGGGGGTTGAGCTCTTTGGACCCACTTCGTGTGTGTGTGTATTCACCTAGTTGTGCTTGCGGGGTTTGAGCTCTGGCTCTTTCGGCCCGCCTTTCAACTGTCAATCAATCAACTGAATTTTTTTCTCTCCCCACCCTCTCCAAGGAAGCAGTCTGTAGCAGCTGTCGAACTCCCAAGTACCTATTTACTGCTAGGTAACAGGGGCATCACGGTGAAAGAAACTCTGCCCACATATTTCTGCCATCGCCGGGAATCGATCCCCGGTCCCTAGGATTACGAGTCCAGAGCGCTGTCCACACAGCTATCAAGCCCCTAAACCCCCCCCCCCCACACACACACACATAGGCCTTCTGTGTGTGTGTGTGTACTCAGGGGAGTATTGATTGATAAAGATTAAGCCACCCAAGAGGTGGCACGGGCATGAATAGCCCGTAAGTGATGGCCCTTTTGAGCCATTACCAGTATCAAGAGCTGATACTGGAGATCTGTGGAGGCGCGACTGCACCCTGCATGACGGGAGATGTCTCCCGGACCAAGTGGTGACCAGATGGTCAATGTGGTGTAGGGGTGTATTGATTGATGAAGATTAAGCCACCCAAAAGGTGGCACGGGCATGAATAGCCTGTAAGTGATGGCCCTTTTGAGCCATTACCAGTATCAAGAGCTGATACTGGAGATCTGTGGAGGCGCGACTGCACCCTGCATGACGGGAGATGTCTCCCGGACCAAGTGGTGACCAGATGGTCAATGTGGTGTAGGGGTGTATTGATTGATGAAGATTAAGCCACCCAAAAGGTGGCACGGGCATGAATAGCCCGTAAGTGGTGGCCCTTTTGAGCCATCTGTGGAGATCTGTGGAGGTGCGACTGCACCCTGCGTGACGGGAGATGTCTCCCGTGAGGGGTGTATTGATTGATTGATGAAGATTAAGCCACCCAAGAGGTGGCACGGGCATGAATAGCCCGTAAGTGGTGGCCCTTTTGAGCCATTACCAGTATCAATAGCTGATACTGGAGATCTGTGGAGGGAGGGGTGTATATGCGCGCGCTCTTTATATATGTGACCCTGTGCAGTTATTGAGAAGTGCTTAATTACACTCTCCATACAACAACAACCGCAAATGTGCGCAGTCATGGCCTCAGTACTCGGCGCTGCGGCGCATGACTGGTATGTGTGGCGCAAGGTGTAGCGACCCTCTCAGAGTACTTGCAGAATCTGTGGTGAGAGTGATGGACACCGCCTTGACCACTATCTACGTGAATGTGAACACCTGAGACACATTAGAAATATGTGTAGCATAATAAACTCCACATTGTTTGAGTTAGGAAAACACTATTTGTCAAATATTGATACTGTTCTTAAAAGATTCCCCCATTTTGCACCCGCAAGATAACGTAAGCTTTTAAGGGTTGATAGATGTTAATCTTCTTGTTTGAGGAGCTGTTCACTTGAGACAGTTAAGCAAGTCCCAGCTGTGTCTGGGTACAAGTGACAGGATGAACAACCCAGCGGGTTTTCTTCCTATTGGGGAGTGTTGTACATGCTGCTATGGCGGTGTGTCCACTCACAAGATGAGTGGCGCTGCCCAATAAACTCGCCCCTCGGGGCAAAATTTAAAAAAAAATTAACCCCTACCCCGCTCCCTTCCTCAGGGTCTCCAGAAAGGAGCTAAAGGGCGACATGAATGAAGTGTAAAGGGCAATATAAACAGGCTATCAAAATATCAACCTAAGATTGAACACAAAATATACGCAAGATAGATATGTTTAGATTTATAGATATTAATAGTTGAAAGCAGGTTCGGAAATAAATATGCAGAACAGGTTATCGAGTAGCATCATGCAGGCAAAGTCACCGGAAAAAAAATCTTAAACATAGGTTGGGTGTGGCTGTGTGTATATATAGAAACGGCTTCGCGTGGCCCAATAGACATTCTACAGATTCCTTTATTCTTAAGTTCTTATTCTATAGATAAATCGTATTCTTAAAGTAATCCAGAAAACCTTTTAAATGTCTTGAATCTTTAGCACACATAAAAGAAGCGAATTAGAACAGGGAATAAACTATTTAGCCATTTTTGTCTTATCAAACGCTGTACTTATACATTATTTTACGCTATTGATAGAGTATAAAAAGAACAGACTTTTCTTATTTGTTAGCTTGCTTAGAGCTGTCCCTTCCACAGCTTATCTGAAAATATTATCCGATACCTGTGTAACGTCTCGCTACACCTGCTGTCCCGAACACCCGATGCGCACCTGTCTGCACTTATGCCGGCATTTTCACATATTCAGACTTTGGTATTTATTGATTCCGAGTGCTGACTACCGCTCTTAATGTCCTCCAGATATTGACCAAGGCTTCTTTAGCTCCGTTTTATTCCAAGGAGCTTAAATCCCATAAAATATACATTGATGCAGTACACTAACCTCTGTATGTTGCTAAACACTGTATTAATAACGAGGCTACTGTAAATTCAATTGGCCATGCAGGCGACGCTGCGCAAAGTGCTCCCAGCTGACACTCGAGCTGTCACGTGGTGATCAGCTGGGCTACCTCATGATGGTCGATTGTTTTTTTTTGCAGGAACATTCCTGGGTGGAGTCCGTCCTCAGAGCAAATCCATTACCATGAACTTACCTGAATTTACCCGAGGGCCACTAACTCTTTAGTGGCCTCGACGAGGACAGGAAGCCGGCGGGTTCTCAATGGTCCCTCCCCCCATCTGCCTGCTGATCTTTTCCAGATTTTAAAATTTAAGTTTTTTGGCATATGCGGGTAGGCGGTTCCAAGTTTATAATGCTGTGGGTGAAAAGCACCCCACCCCCCTGTCTCATATATACCGTATATATATATCCATATCTCTATCCTTTCGAATATCCACACACGTATGTTAGAATCCACACACATACGTAAGGATCACTTTCCTTGTATGCATGCAACATTTTCACCTTCCAAGCATTACAAATATGTATAGTAAATCCACTTAGTCCTTACAACTAATGTCATTTTTAATTATGTTCCCTATTTCAATTACCGAGTGTTAGCAAGTTTGTCTTCCGCAACCATATACTTATTCCACCTTGTTTAAACGAGTGTCGAACAGCGAACAGATCTTGAACCACCAGCCCCAAAACCACTCTATATTTTAATAATCTAAGTGAACTGAAAAGGCCTGGAACGAACAGCTTGTAGAAACTCCACTGCTTTAGTACAACTAACATTCACTCGGGAAAAAAATACATAACGTCGTTGTCTCTTCCTCCTCTGTTGTGTGGTTTGATCATATCTTCAGCCACGTTATTGCGCCGCCTCATCGTCTGCTTGGCCTCTGGGACTTGAGTGTGTTCCAGATGTTTGGCAAATCGAGTGTTGAGGTAGAGAGGCAGTAAGAGGTTGGGGACCTCGAGGAGGACGGGGCAGTGCAGTGAGCGGTATTAGGAACCAGAGTGAGAAATTAGCAGCAGTTTAACAAATGGCAAAGTTTAATGTAAATGTCCTTTTTTCCTTGTCCAGTGTATATTAATCTCTATACTGCCTGTAGGTCAATACTGTCAATACTTATTTAGGATATTTAATTACTGGTTAACTAAATAAATTAGAATAGTAATCAAGGATTACTCTACTCTCTTTAATTTTCTGATGAATTCTCGTCTGCAGGAAACAATCATGGTAATACTGTAATTACTAAATACCTTCCTTAGAGTAATCTATTTTAATTACCCAAAACATCTCCCGTGTTTTAAATTCAGGTCCACAAAAATTATAGAAGTTACTGAGGTGGCAGGGTAATACTGGGGAATAACGGTGTTCAGTACAAGAGAATAATCTTAACTCTAAACATTAATTATCTCTCTGGAACAGGTTAATGCACAATTAAAAAACAATTCAGGTATGAAGTAAAGGAAAGAGAAATCAGGAGAAATCGCCAAGCCATTTCGACTATATACTGCAGCACTGGGAAGGGGTCAGGATAAGGATTTTGGGATGCGACGGGGTGAAAGGAATGGTGCCCAACCACTTGGACGGTCGGGGATTGAACACCAACCTGCATGAAGCGAGACCATCGCTCTACCGTCCAGCCAAAGTGGTTGGGTGTACAGTAATTAGTAAAGAAATTCAGTAAATTGAACTAGGAAAAAACTTGCTGAGTTACAAGTGATTTTAAGGGTGATACAGTCTTGTGATGTTACAGTGTGACTGATTTAACATGAAAACAAGTGTTGAACCAGTATTTTCTTGTACACTATATATTGAACCACATACTTAACTGAGAAGACACAGAATGATGATACAGAA